AAGGAAAACATTTTAAACTCCTCCACCCAATTGTTCGCTCCCTTCAACCTGTCCCCCCTCAATTGGAAAAAGAAAAACTAAATCCTTTTTTTTTATAACAAATATGCATAGTCAAGCAAAACAAATTCCCCAAGTTGGCCATGACCAAAAATATGACTCATTTACAGAGATGAAAATTGAGGCCCAGGAAGATGAAGGCATATGGATATTAAGATGTTCTAGAACAAGAGTTCTAGACATGGACCAAGGGGTTCATGGATGGATTTCAGGAAATCCTTGAACTTGGAAAATATTACATCTTGGGTTTTCATTAATGTTTAACTGAAATTTGAGATCTCTTTGAATTATTTCGAAACATGATTCTAAGAAAGGCTTCACTAGACTGCTGGGAGAGTCCATGATACAAAAAGGATTAAGAGGTTCCACTATAGAAACTACTTCCCAAGCTCAGATTTCCCTGTTGTTTTAGATCGCTATGTTTCTGTCTGTCTGTCTCTGTCTCTATATCTCCCATCTTTCCCCTCCTCTTTCCAACTCTTTCTCTCTCTCTCTGTCTCTCTCTCTCCCTCCCTCCTTCTCCCTTTCTGTCTTTGTCTCTCTCTCTCTCCCATCTCTCCCCCTCCTCCCTTCTCTTTGTCTCTCTGTCTCTCCCATCACTCCCCTCCCCCTCTCTCCTCCTCCTCCTGCTTTTTCTTCTTCTTCTTCTTCTTCTTCTTCTCTCTCTCTTCTCTCGCCCTCCCTTCTGTCCTCCATCTCTCTCATCTCTGCCCTCCCCCTTCTCTCCTCCTTTCTCTTTCTCTCTCCCCCCTCTCTCCCTTTCTCTCTGTCCTCCCCCCACCTAATTGTGGGAAGAACACTGGCCTTGAGTGAGGGTTAGAAAATCTGGGTGACTGACTTATTCTATGTGTGATCTTAAGCCAGTTCCCTCCCCTCTCTGGGCCTCAGTTTCCTCCTATGTACAATGAAGGCAATGGAGTAACTCCAACCCTTAGTGCCCCTTCTGGCTCACATATTCTATTTTCAATTCAGTGAACACTGATGTCTCTTGGGCAACAAAGACAAAAACAAAAGTCCCTGTGCCTCAGAGAGATGGTACGCTACAGATGCCATATATATACCTTACCCCCTCCCCCCATTGTACCCTCTCTAGACCACTCTCAGGCTGTTTGGCATATATAGGGCAAAGCAGGAAAGTGATAGGAGCAAAGACAAAGAACCAGGAAAAGTGTTCTAAGAATATTTGTTAAAGAATCCCTCTAGCTGGGGTGAATCAGAGGTAATCCACAAGTATTTATTAAGCATCTACTCCGGGTGCTAGCATTGTGCTGGGTGCCGGCCATAAACATAAAAGGAAGGACACGATACCCACTTGCTAGGAGGTTTCCTTCTAATGAGGGATGCTGGCACCTGAGCTGTGTTTGCCTTGAAGGAAGAGATTTTGACAGGAGATGAAGAGGGGGAGTGGATTTCGTGAAGGACAGCGAGCCCTGACATTCTGTTCTATGTTCCAAGATCTCTTCCAAATCTGACATTGTGCTCTATGTTTTAAATTCCGACTTTCTCACCAGCCCACTATTCCAAACACCCTTCCACATCCCCAGGAGCCTCTCCCACACATACCCTGTCCCACAGAAAGCTCTGGTCTCATCACTTTTGGGGGGTGGGGAGGACAAGCTCAGGAAAAAGAGCTGGGATGCCAAACAGCCTGAGAGTGGTTTAGAGAGGGTACAATGGGGGAGGGGGTCACCATACTGTTCCCCAGGGCTAGGTCTCCCGATCCTTGCCTCCAGCTGGAGGCGGGGGCTCCAGTTACAGCCCCCCTCCTCTCTACCCTCCCCACACTTCCCTGCCTCATTGGCTGACTGTGGGAGGGGCGCGGCCTGGGCTGCAGCCAGATGTTGGGAGCAGCAGGAGAGAGGAAGAACAGAGCCGTCCGTCCTCCCAACTCCACTCCAGCGATCCCTGCCCAAGCCACAGACGTCCTGTAGCAGCGGCTGCTGGAGTGGAGAGGGCCTGGGGGGGGAGGTGCTGGCCCCAGTTGGGGCCCTTCTCCCTAGTTGGGAATGCGCAGCTCCCGGCTGGACAGCTTCCTGGGACAGTTCCGTCTGGAGTTGGTGAGCTTTCTGCCTTGAGAGTGCAGACTTGGGGAGGCAGCACAGGGGGGAGCTGTGGAGGGACCCCTAGAGAATTGGGGAGCAGCTAGCTCTTTTGCTTCTTTTCTGCTAGGCACTGAGGTGGGCTCTTAGTGGAGGGGGAGTCCTGGGAAGGCAGAGGCCTGCTCACCAGGAAGAGAACCTAGAATGGTTTCTGGGGCACTCCAAGGCTCAGTTTCTCCTCCCACAGCCTTGACCCCAGAACAAGACAGGAAGTAGCTGTCCCCACCCCCACTCCCCAGCCAGCTCACCCCACCATAGATGTATTAGAGGAAGGTAGTACCTTGGACTTGACATCTCTATGGGTAGTGAGTATTCAGGGATGGGGGCTTTTTGCAGACACGGTTGTGGAGGACCTGTGGTCCTATATTAGGTCTGTGTTTGCCCACACATGTGGGGCTGGGGGAGGGGCACCCCAGCTGGCTGGAGCTGCCCTGGCAGATGGCTGGGGTTGGGTTTCGGACGGTTGGGGAACTTTGGGGGCTGTCCCGGGCATCAGGTAACAACATCCTGGCTAGCCATGCTTGGCAGAGGGCCTCCCTCCCCCTACCTTCTACATCCAGGAAAGGGAAAATAAAACTTTTGAGCACAAGGGGAGAAACTGAGGCAGGCAGGCACCTAAGCCTACCCGGCTCCGATGGTAACCAGGAGGAACTCATATATCCAGCAGCTTCTATCTCAACAGCTGTGCTTCTTGTAGCTGACTAGGGGTGGGGGGTGGGGTGGGTCGGAGCGAGGAGGGCTGTCTGCTGCCAGTTATGGGCCTAGGGGTAAAAAGAGAGGGGGGACTCGCCTAGCTTGAGTGTGACAAGGAGAGGAGGGAAGAAGGGGAGACCTTATAACATTCCGGGGGCCGCTTCCCCTTACTCGAGCCAGGATAGAGCTAGGATTGGAATGGGGGGCTGAGACAGTAGCCCCCTGGGTCAGGATACAGGCTCCCTTACCCTGCCCTGCCCTAGTTCCTTTCCTCCTCCCCACCTCAGCTCAGCTCAGCCCAGCCCAGCCCGACCCATCCTGGCCCAACTTCTCCACACCCGCTCTCCGCCACCCCCGGGCTGCCTGCAGCGGGTGCTAACTTGTCTGCTGGGGAACATGCTGCAGCCTGCCAGCCTGAAGAAAGCAGGGAGCCAGGAGGTTGGGGGGCCAGGCACGTGGCAGCTGCTGCCGGCTGGGCAGGGTTGCGTGTGCCAGGGGGCCAGGCAGGTTTTTGGTAGGTGACCCACCTGTTTCTGGTATGCGCTTCACCAGGATATAAGTGCCCCCCCCATGGTAGGAAATAGGCGTCAATGCCCCAAATTAGACACAGCACTTGGTGCCCAGTCCCCCCTTCCCCATAATATTTTCCACTAGCAGGAAGATGCTCTTGGCCCCTGCAAATCTGTACTCCAGCTAGGCTAAATATGAAAAGTTAGGATGGGGGAAGAGGAGGGAGCCTCAGAGCGGACCCAGCATAAAGCATGAGCATTGTGCTTGATCCTAGAGGTGGAGGTTCATGCCCCTGGCCTGCCATTTACCAGCTATGTAACCTTAGGCAAGTCATTTTACTTCAATTTCCTCATCTGCAAAATGAGAATACTTGTCCTCGTGTGTTATAATGTAAGAACAATAAAAGTGTTGCTAAAACTTATTCTGGTCCAGCCTTTGCTATTAATTTGTTATATGGGTTAGACACTTTCACTGCTCAGTGCCTCGGTTTCCCCAGATTTCATATGAAAATGGAATAATCCCAACTCTCATGACAACCAACACTCTACCCTGAGTGCCTACCAGAAGCAGGCAGTGAGACCTTTCTCTCTTTGACTCTGGCATCTCTAAAATAGGGATGGTAATATCGAATGGCTTTGACCTTTGCTCTCTCCTCTCTCCTTCAGCTGTGCGGGCGGGAAGAGCCAGGCTCCCCGCGGATGCAGGGTCCCTCGCAGCCACCCCCCCCAGAGCCCGCCAGCGGCCCCCGGCCCTGCCGCCCACCACGAGCCTCGGATGCCTCAGAAGCAGACTCGGCCTGCTGCCTAGAAGAGGACGATGAGGAGGGGGCTGCACTGTCCCCCTGTGAACGCACCCTGGACTGGGACTCAGGTTACTCAGAAGTGTCAGGGAGCACCTGGCGGGATGAGGACCGGCCAGTGCTTAGGAGGGCTGGCCGCCTACGGGGCCGGACCAGCCCCCCATCTGGACGTCGACCCCGGCCCAAATCTACTTCTGACATCTGCCTGGAGCAGTGGCGGGGACTAGATGCTGAGGACTGGACAGCGTGTCTACTGTCTCGAAGCCGAAGCCGCCAGCCCCTGGTGCTAGGGGATAACTGCTTCGCAGATCTGGTGGAGAACTGGATGGAGCTCCCTGAGGCAGCGGGTGAAGGGTGCCCGTCGGCGCCCCCTCGCTGGTTGGGAAAGCCCCACCACTTCTTGCTCAACCTCTCGGACCATCTCAGGCGCAGGCTGGGTGGGGGCGGGGGCGGGGGCCGGGCCCGGGGCCCCTCTGGAGCCGGGGCAGCGCCCCAGAGGAGCAGCCCAGCAGCCATGGCCGCCAAGCGCCTGTCCTGCCCCCCTGCACCTGGGTGCCCCCTCCCCTCGCCGGACCTTGCCTCGGACTTTACTCACTTTGCTGCTCTCATGAGGAGCCGCAGCCGGCAGCCCATCATTTGCAATGATGTCATTGGTTACATTTGACACCTCTTTTCTCCACCCCCATCCCCAACCACGGGCAATAAAGGGTTTTCTATTAGACCCCGATATCTCCTTCCTTGGCAGGGAGCAGAAGGGGTTTGAGGGAGGAGCCCTGCCCCTAATACTGCCCAGCTGGGTCTGCCGCAGGCCCCAGGCATACCCCACCCTTAGAATCACAGGATTCAGATTCTCGCAATCCTCTCATTGTCCATATGCAGAAGCTAAGACCCAGAGGGGACAAGAGATTTGCCCAAGGTCACACAGAATCTGGCAGAGCAAAGATTCAGATCCTGACCCTTTGACTCCACAATATGCTACACTGCACCATTTGGTCTGAAGAGAATCCCATCTGGCTTTGAGGCATGGTCCCGGGATGCAGGGACAGGGCCATGACTGGGAGCAGGCAGCGAGAAGGGGGCTGGTTCCACGGTTTAAGTAGCCGACAAATTTGCCTTGGGCAGATATCTTTCCTTCCTGGGCCTCAGTTTCCTCCTCTGGGGATTGGATTGGTTGACGTCTAAAGTCTTTTCCAGCTCTAAATGTCACGATTCGATGAAGGAGCAGAGCCAGTATTGTTACCAGGGAGGATGCCCGGCAATGACGCAGCAGGGCGCCTGAGTCTCCAACGGGGTGGGGGGAGATGGGAGAAAAAGGAAAAGAGGGGCTCGCTGTAGCAGCCTGTTCCCTGGGTGGGAGAGGCAGAATCCTGGGCTATAAGAGAGTCTGATTGGCTGGCAACGTTTCAAGCAATTTTTTTCTGATATCCCATTGGCCACCATCACCTGGATCTAGTTAATGCTTCATCAACTGTTTTATTAATGATTCTGGGGCTGGGAGCTCAGCCGTGTGTCCGTCTTTGTGGTCTGGGCTCAGCAGAGGCGGTAATGCAACGGGGGGAATGTAGTGTCCTCCTCTTCGTCCTCACAGCTGATCTCAAACACCAGCTCCTTTTGGCCCATCTTCGGCTCCTTGCCAGTCACCCGATGCGCCAATTCTGTCACCCTGCGGGGGAGGATGGGTGGGCATCGGGAGTCAGAGGCTCAGCCAGACTCGGGCAAGGGAGCAAAGAGGAGAAGAGGGAGAGTCATAGTTGAGGGCCCAGGCAGGGGGGCGGTGAGAAACAGGAGCAGCTCAAGACAGGAAACATCTGAAACTATTTTAGGAGAGAGCTGAAGGCAGAGAGACAGGAAACGGGCCATTCTCTCAGAGGAACAGCCCTGAGCAGCAAGTAGGGTGGGGATCTGGCCCTGTCCCCAGAACCAAGTCCCGGACCTGCAGGATGGAGTGGGCAGCTGGACTGGGGGATGCTAGCTTCTTCCTGGGCACAGGCAGGACCCTAACTCTGCTCTTACCTAGCTCCCTCACCCCTCCCCTTCCCTCCTCCCACCTTCTACAGATTCCATTTGGCAGCTCCATTTGGTTGCAGGAAACTGCCAGGGAAGTGTGAGGGGCCCCTTTGGTGGGGAGGGAAGGAAAGGTTATGGCAATGGGTGAGCTAGTGATGGGACCCCAGGAGGCTTGCTGCTGTAACACTGACTTTATCATGTCTGTGCTATGTAGTAGCTGGATGGCATTAAGCACATCACCGAACCCCTCTGGTGCTGTTTTCTCATCTGTAAAATGAAAGGGTTAGATGAGATGATTTCTCAGGTCCCCTCCCACTTCAAATCCTGCAACATTCCCTACTCTTGCTACCTGACCCATACCCTGACCCTTCCTGTGCCCCCATCCCCAGCCTCAGTTCCTCTTTGCTGGAGGAGACATGGCCCTGCCACAGAAAGTCCTGTCCTTCTGGCCAAAGCTAAGAGATCCAGAGTCTCCCTCTGGACACCCTGGGCTCTTACCCAGCCCTCACTCTCAAATCACACAGACCTGGGCCTCTCCTGGGAGGTTCATCTCCTGGAGGCACGGGCCCATTTCAGCTGTGTCCCAGAGGAATCTTTTCCCTGGTCCCCACAGCTGCTCGTTCATCTCCCCCCTTTCCCTCCTTCTCCTCCCCAAAGGGTAGCCTCCGAGTGGGAGGAACTTCTCTGGGCCTAGAGCAGTGCCTTCCTCTCTGAGCAGCCTTCAAGCTTGGATCTAGCCAAGGCCCAGAGAAGACCAAGGAGGGAGGGGGAAGGGAATGAGCATTTCTTTTGGGACTACTATGTGCTAAGCACTAAACTCTTTTTTTTTTTTTTTTTTTTTGGTGAGGCAATTGGAGTTAAGTGACTTGCCCAGGGTCACAAAGCTAGTATCAAGTGTCTCAGGCCGGATTTGAACTCAGGTCCTCTAAACTCTTTACAAAATCATCATTCCCATTTTACAGATGAGGAAACTGAGACAGAGGTGAAGTGACTTGCTCAGGGTCATACAGCTAGTTATGTGTCTGAGGCAGGATTTGAACTCAGGTCTTCCTGACTCCAGGCCCAGAGCCCTATCCACTGTGCTACCAGCTGCCTCTGAAGAGTATGAAGAGCATCTCTAATCCTCAGGGGAAAGGAATACTGGGATGTAAATGGCTCCTGGAACAGACAGGAAGCTGATCTTCTTTTATACAGGAGAACGGGGGCTGGGCAGCAGAGAGTGAGAACCCTAGGGGTACCTCAGAAAGGAGAGGCTGGAGGAAGCCTGGACCCCCTCTGCTCCAGACTGGACCTCACCTGAGCTGGAGGTTTTGCTGGGCCTCTGGCCAGCGCCTTGAGTACAGGAGATAGGTGTCCAGCAGTAACATGGTCACTGGAAGGTCATACTTCTCCTGGGGGTAATGGAGATAGGATAAAGGCCCTGCTGAGCCCTAAGCTGGCTCCATACACGTGAAGGAATCCATGGGGTGGGTTGGGAGCCATAGACACTGGTGAGGCAGGTAGGGGGAAGGTGTGGGGAAGAGACTCCTTCAGGGAGAATCTACTCTGGGGGTCCTTTCCTGGGAGGGGAGAGAAGGAAGGAAGAAGCCAGGACCTTTAGGATCTGGGCCTGGGGGCATTGAAGGGATGGGCTGGTCTGCTGGGGGGGGGCCATGTATCTAAACTTGGGGCAAGGCAGATTGGGCACTGGAGGTAGGGGAGAGCTGAGCCTCTAGACACCAGGGTCCAATCTTCTAAAGAGGGACGTGTCCCGAGTCCCTGGGTAACTCATCCATTCCCCATTTGGGGAGGGATAGAAAGAAGGCCACTGCTAAGGGCTTGTTCAGAGGCAAGGGCTATGTGACTGTGTATGAGATCTGGCAGATAGGTGGGACTAGGCTCACCTGGAGATAGGCGAGAAGGTCCCTCAGGGTCATCTCAGGCTGACCTGGGGCAGGAGCAGGCACCGTCAGCCGGTCCCAGCATGTCCATCTCATATCATGATACTGTTGGGTGAGCAGAGATGTGGGTGTCAGCAAAGAGCCTGCAGTGTAGACTCTATAACAGGGCTTCAAATGAGTGAAAACACCCTGGCACTCCTTCCTTCTGGGTCGCAGAAATAAGAGATGGGGCTGAAGAACCAGGCCCCAGTCTCCTACTTTGGAAAGGGATAGAGCTGGACAAGAGCATCTTCCCTGACAAATTCCTTGTTTCTTTGATTAAGAGCCTGGCTTGGGGAAATCTTTGGAAGCAGAAAGCAGTGAGTGGGAAAGGAAGGCGAGCAAGGAGAAAAAGGCCTGCAGCCCCCTCCTCAGCCTGCTTTCCCACGCTGGACCTTCCCTGAGCTGAAAGTTTTGTTCCTTTGAAACCAACATGTCAAATTAAATTCATCTTTCCCTTACACCTGCTACTCTTTCTGACTTTTCAGTTTCTCTCTGTGGCATCACAATTCACCCAGTCTCCCATATTGGAGTTATCTTTGACCTTCCTCTCCCTCATTTCAGCTCTTGCTGACTTCAGTTCGGCAACATCTCCCACCTCTGTGCTTTTGCCTCGGCTGTCTCTCATGCCTGGAATGCCCTCCCTCCTTACTGCTGCTTCTTAGAATACCTAATTTCCTTTAAAAACTCAGCTTAAGTTCCACCTTCTCCATGAAGCCTTTGCTGCCCCTGCAGCTGCTAATGCCTTCCCCATAAATTATGTTAATTTTGTGTACATCTTACCCTATTCTTTTACTGGCTCCCCTAATAGAATGTTAACTTTTTGAGGACAGGGACTGGCCTCGAGGCCTACTGACTGGCACACAGTAGGTGCTTAATAAATGCTTGTTGTTTAATTGACTATCTTCTGAATTCATCTCCACTTCCACTGTCACACTCTGGTATACACCTTCCTTACTACTGTCTTAGATTACTGCAACAACCACATTACAGGACTTCTTGCTACCAGTATCTTCTCCCACCAACCCATCCTTCCTTCTTCAGTCAGAATAATCTTTTTAATTTGTAGATCTGGTCATATCACTCCTCTGCTCATAAACCTTTAGTAGCTCCCCATTACCTTTTTTTTTTTTTTTGCTTTTTGGTGAGGTAATTGGAGTTAAGTGACTTACTCAAGGTCACATAGCTAGTAAGTGTCAAGTGCCTGAGGCCGGATTTGAATTCATGTCCTCCTGACTCCAAGGCCAGAGCTCTATCCACTGTGCCATCTAGCTGCCCCTTCCCTATTACCTTCTGAGTAAAGTTCAGTTTTCCCTGCGCTCCACATGTGCCCCACCTCCCTTCTCACATAGTCCAACCCAAAGGGACAACTCTTTGCCTCCACCTCCACTCTCCCAAACACTCCTGTGCTTGCACTCAGGCTCTTCCCTGTGCCTGCTGTGCCCTCCCTCCCCTGTTGGTCTGGTGAGTTCCTATCTGTCCTTCAAAGACCAGCCAAAATGCCACCTCATCCAGGAAGCCTTCCCTGATTATCCAGGCTGGCATTGACTTCAGGCCTCACCTAGCGGTTTGTAGCTCTTAGTTGTATATTTTAGTTGTCTATGCCTTATTTTTTGGTAAAATAAGAGGGGGATAGTCAACTAAATGATATCAAAGGTCCCTCTACACTTTAGATCCTTTAACCCTAAATGTATTCCCTCCCACCCCGAAGGGTAGAGAAAGGAAAGGCCGAGGAAATCCAGGCCTATGGCCTACCCGTGGAAGAAAGCACAGTTCTGGAGTGGGGATGGGAGGGGCAGGGGGAGAAGGCTGAGGGTCCAGGGAAAGGGGATGTTGAGCCAGGGCAGGCTCGGTCAGCATTCCTTGCTCCTCCCTCCCCAGGCCCCGTCTCCTCAGTGGGACCCGTCACAGGACATGGCCGTGGGGGCCATTTCCACAGGAAAAGGGGCTGCTCCGTCACCAAGGCTGGGGGTGGGGTGGGGGTCAGGGGAGCTTCCTGAGGAAGTAGGGGGGAGGGGCAGCAGCTGCAAACCTTAGATAAGGAGCATTACTTCTCAAGTCCATGGTCGTCCAGCCAGCTCAGCCTCTGAGCCGCTAACTCCCAGCTCCCTAGCTTGCCTGATGGTAGAGTATCCCCCTGAGGTGCCAAGAGGGGACCTGCTCCAGGGCTGTCCGGTGATATCCCTAAGCAGGGCTGAGAATCAGGACACCAGGATGGCAGCTCTGGCTCCGCTACTAACTGGCTGTGTAACTCAGGGCTAGTTCCTGCCTCTTTTTGAGCCTCAGTTAGCTGAGCTGATCTGCGTTCAAAGATAGTTCCCTATAAGATTCATGATTCTCAGATTTCTCATTTGTGAGAGCCCAGAGAAGAGATCCTGGGATTTAGAGAACACCTGAATCCAGCACACTCATTTTATGGAAGAGGAAACTGAAGCCCTGAGGGAAAGGGGCCATCCCACAGCTAAGAGTCAGAAGAGTCGGGATTTAAAGTGAGGTCTTCTGACTGCTCTAGAATGCTTGGGAAGGTACAAGGGACGTGGGGAGGTTTTTAAGGCAGGAAACAGTGGGAAGGAAGTGGAAGAGAGGGATTGTGAGGGTGACTGTCCTGAGGGCTCCTACCCTGGCTCATCAGAAACTCCAGTGTCCCCACTGAATGACCAGATCTGGCCCTGAGGCTGGCGCAATCTGGAGACAAAGAAGGCCCTGTGCGTGGGGGCAAGAAGGGGGCCAGAAGCGGGCCCTGGGCTGCTCCCTGCTAACCCTTGCCCTAGGCTTTATACAAAGGCTCTCTGTGATGGGCTTGTAGAACTGAGGGGGCATAAAGGAATGAAGACCCCAGGACTAGACAACAGTCCGGCCCTGGGTGTGGGGGGGAGGGGAGGGAGACAAGCCCCTCCAGTGTTTTGGACTGTTCCCTTCTCTTTTTCCCTCTTCCTGCCTTTCCTGTTCCCTCCTGCCTCCTCAGACCCTGTTTTTCATTAGCTTGGTCTAATGAGCTAATAATCACTTCCAGACTCTAGTGCAACTGGGTTCCCTCTGCCCATCCCCAACCCACACACATCTGCACACGCAAGCACACACTGAGACACACAAACAAGGACACGAGTGTATACTCATGAGGACATACATGGGCACATGTACTCAGGCATGTGAACACAGGTACCGCTGGAGGGACTCCCTTGAGGCAAGGCCAGCCGAAGGCTCCCATGGGCCTGGAGCTCTGTTCACTCCTCCGCCCTGGGCCCGGGCATGGAAGCTGGTAGAACTGAGCCCTACTTTTCTCCCAGCTCCCAGAGCCCAACAGCTGGAGTCTGGCCTCGTCCAGGCCTATCTCATTCTCACCCCTTCTATGGTGTGGGCTTGGGTCTGACTGAACCCAGAGAAAGCCTCAGGCTCCCCGTCCGCCCCTCAGAAGGGCTCCCTAGGGGTGGAGGGCTGAGGAGGGGGCTGACTGCCGGATGTCTGGCTACACTAATGAGTTAAAGCTGTGGGCTCTCCCCCCACCACCCACAGACCCCATCGGGTCTGACGGCTGCTTCCTGTGTCTGACAGTTCCCAGCCTGCTGCCCCCATCCCCCCAGCCTCAGCCGTTGTTCCCCACTCTGGCCTCTCATCTCCTCCCACCCCAGCCTGGCTCCCTTCCCCAAGCCCCTAGCTCCCAAACAGTTCCCCTTCTCTCTTTCTCATCCTTCCCAGCCTGGTTCTGTCCTCCCCCTCTTCAGTCCTCATCCATTCCCCCACCTTCCAACTTCAGCCCAATGACTCAGGCTGGAAATTCAAACCCTTCTGGAAGTCTGGGGCGGAAAGGGGGAGATGGTGAAGAGAAGCTGGCTTCCACAGCTTCCACACTCACCCCCAGCACTCAAGTTTGGGGGAAGTTCAGAGAGCCTCTTCAGACAGGGATGGGGAGCAGGGACATTGGTCAGGGAGTAATTGTACGGCTGGGTTCTCAGGGAGCTCCCTGTGGGGCCTCAATCTTCCCAAGATGCCTCCTGGATCAGGCCTGGAGTTGGAGACAGAGCTGGGCTCAAGAGTGAGCTGAGAACGAAGAGCCAGGGATAGGGACCTTCGCAAGAAGTATTACAGCTAGGGATAGAGGAGACATCAGAAGCCTTCTCATGAGGAGAGAGGCTTCATGGTGGGCTGAAATGAGATGCTGCCCGGACGGATGAACTTCATCTAGAATACACAACAAGGCCAAACCCAAATCGGGATGTGTGTGTGTGGTGGGGGACATCTAGAGGAAAAGAGGGAGGGAGGGATTGGCAGGGTTAGAATACTCTCGGGCCCAGAACAGCCAGGGCGAACGTGAGCTCCCTTTAGGCATTTTGGGAAACTTGTGCGTCACCCACAGGTTAGAAGATTTAAAAGCCAGAAGGAACCTTAAAAACCTTGTCTGAATATCCTCTCACTTTACAGAATAGGAAACGAGGCCCAGAGAAGAGAAAGGACTTGTCCAAGGTCCACAGCTGAGATTCGAACTCAGGCCTTCTGACTCCCAAACCAATGCGTCTTCTATGGCACCAGCCTCACTCAGTTGGTCCGTGAGAGAATATTTTTATATGCCTCAAAGTCACTTGGAACTTTGTGCTGGTATATCTGTAAGTGCTCATGCCCTTGGAAAGAAACACCAGCAGAAAAGCCTACCAGCTCCCTGAAGTGTGTTGTAGGAGCTGAAGAAGGGAGGGAGCCACTGGGGACCAGAGCTAGAGAATCCAGGGACCTTGTGGAGGTTGAGGGCCCCGAAGACAAAGCTAGGAGTTAGCTCGGCTGTTTTCTGGCCAGATGTGGTAACCTCCTACCATCAAGAAAGAGCAACTTAAGAAGGCCCTGGACCAAGGGCAAAGGTTCCCCAGGGTCATCTCAGAGAATGAGCTGATTCACGAGAAGCTGAGACCAGAGGCTCCATGGCCCAGGACAGAATGGCCCATGGACAAGGAGGGTGGGAGAGGGGCACAAGGAAGAACTGAGATAAGGTGACGGGCAGGGACAGTGGAAAGGGCTGGGAGAACAACCGGCGTGGGAGACATCTGGACTGGAGTCAGAAAGAAGAAAGGATAAAGAGTCAAGAACAGGCAGGGAATGATCTATACGAATAGAGGGAGCAAGACCGGCAGGGACAGGGCTAAGGTCGGAGCCAAGATGAGAGCGGGGAACCAGATGAAGAATAGGGAAAGAGACAGGAACAGGGTCAGCAGTTAGGACCAAATGGAGAAAGGGAGAGGTGAGGGCCAGGGTAAGGGGGACAGACTACACGGATGTTAGGAAGGGGGAGCGGGTCCGCAAAAAGGCCCAAGGTAGGCTGAGATGGAGAAGAGGGGCCAAATGAAAGGGAGAGAGGAAGAATGGCTGCCATAGGGAGAAGACGAGGGCTTCCCGGCAGGGTGAGGGCAGAGAATGAGGCTTTACCTGTTGGACACACGGGGCCTTGGGTATCCAGCGAGAGAGGTGAGGCACAGCCAGCTGTAAGTAGCTATGGCGGTAGGAGCTGAGACACCGATGCCCCATCACGATCTTGTACAGCTCCAAGCCAACCAGCCCGGCCACAACCGCGGTCGTGGTGGCTATGGCTGGGATGATCGCCCCTACAATCCTCTTACTCTGGGGAGGGATGGACACGGAGAAGGTATCAGCAGCATTGGAGGTGAAGACATTTCGGGGATCAGGGCAAGAAGGGATGGACCCTCCAGAAAAATGGAGAGCGCATATATGTCCAGGGGCCCTCCCCTCTTAGCTCTTTCCTGAAGGGTGGAAAATGGATCATTCCAGGTCTGGCTAGATCTGGGGAATCTAACTTTGCTGTTTACCTCCTGTGGAGAGACTCTACAGAGTTGGTGTAGAGAATCATCGTATCTTAAAGCTTGAGAGGACATTGGAAGTCATCTGGCCTCTACATACCCCCATTTTACAGAGGAAGACAGTAAGCCCCAGAGAGGGAAGAGATTTCGACCCAGGTCACACACCTAGTGAGTGCTGGAAACACGATTAGAACCCAGTTCCTATGACACCAGACCCAGCGTACTTTTCACTATAACCGGAGTGGATATGAGGACCCTAGGGCGGGGGGTGTCCAACCTTGCTCCGGTCAGCTGGGGGGATTCCATAGTTCTCTGCCCGAAGGTTGGATGCAGCCACAATGAAATCCATGTGGAAGTTACTGTCATCATCCTATGGAGAGTCAGGCAAAACACAGAAGAATCTGGTGGGCTCTGGGTCTAGTGATCCCAGGCCAGAGATGCTTAGTGTACTCACTGAGGCTTGTCTCTTACCTTCTCAAACAGCTGTGGCTCCAAGGAGGTTCCTGGCCATTTCGCCAGAGCTAAGCGTAGTTCTTGTACATAGGTGGGACCTGCAGTTTGGAGAGGAGAATAAAGAACGTCCTAAAGTTGAGTACCCAAGTCCAGGCCCGGAAGCTTCTCCAGTCAGCTGCTTTTTTTTTTATTTTATTTACTTTTTTGGTAGGTAATGGGGTTAAGTGACTTGCCCAGGGTCACATAGCTAGTAAGTGTCAAGTGTCTGAGGCCAGTGGCTGCTTTTTAAAAAAATTAAATTCTATATTATTTAAGATGGTTAAAAAAATAAAACAACAATAAAAATTAACACAAACAGCACTACATATATATGTATATACATATATATGTATGTATATATGGTTGGTAGAAGTCTCTTGTAAAAAAAATTAAATTTTGTGGGTTTTTTTTCCCAATTACCAAGCATTCATTTTTTTATTCCTCCCTCTCCTTCCATTCTCCTTCTTCCCCTCCTGGGGAAAAAAGACGAGAAAAACAAAGCCCCTGTAACAAACAGGCATAACCAAACAGATTCCTGTATTGGCCATGTCTGAAAACTGTGTGTCTCTCTCTGCCACGAATTGGGCTTTAATAGGCAAACAAAAGCCCTTGAGAGACAGAGTGGGAGAGTTAAAAACAAAAAAAAAAAAAAAAAGGGGAGGGAGGGAAGCCTGAACTTGGAGTCAGGAGGCCTGGGTTCAAATCTTGACTATGATGTTTCCTAGCCATGTGATGATAGGTGAGCCACTGTTTCCTCACCTGTAACATACAGGTGCCCACAGAACAATTTTCCTCCTGCCTACCTCCTAGAGTTGGTGTAGAAACTTCTGTAAACCTTAAAGTGCTCTAGAAAGTGCATTGTTGTCATCATCATTTTTATCATTATCAAGGTGTAGTGGAAGAGCCCTGAGCTGGCAGTCCAAAGAACCGAGTTCTACTCCTGGTTCTGTCATTGAGGTGCTGGGTGACCTTGAGCTAGTCACTTCCCCTCTGTGGGCCTTGGTTTCCTTTACTGTAAAATGAGGGGGTTTGCCTTGATCACTGAGATCTTTTCCAGGTGTGATCTGCTGTGATCCTAGGATTAATGATCAATGCCCCCGTGTTCCTTCCACGTGTGTGAGTCCTTGGTAAGGAAAGGCGCTATCTTTTGTAAACTTTGGGGTTGACCACATATTAGGTTGAATCATTCTGATTAATTTCTGAAGATGATGGGAACCCTATTGTTACTTGTTTGGATTGTGGGTTTTTGTTATTGTTGCTTATTTTTCCTAACACTAGTTAGCTCAGGGCCTCAGTTTCCTTTTTTGTAAAGTTAAGTGCTTAGATTGAATGAAGTCTAAGATCTCTTTTGGGGTAGCTAGGTGGCACAGTGGATAGCGCACCAGGACTGGAGTCAGGAGGACTCATCTCCCTGAGTTCAAATTCAGCCTCAGATACTTACTAGCTATGTGACCCTGGGCAAGTCACTTAACCCTGTTTGTCTCAGTTTTCTCATGATCTAGAGGAGAAAATGGCAAATCACTTCAGTATCTTTGCCAAGGAAAAACCCAAATGGGGTCACAAAGAGTCGGACACAACTGAAATGACTGAACAAAAACAAAACAACAAGGTCTCTTTCAGCTCTAAATTCTATGATCCTAACATAGGGGTGAAGCACTGGTCGTCCCCTTCCCAACTCTCACTGTATAGTAGGGAGGACTTCTGACTGATTGAAAGTGGGTTTGCAGTTGCAGAATAAACCAATGAATTTGGGCCAGAAGCAACAAATGACTAATTAATCTCAATCTCTTTAGGCATATTCTGGGACAAGAGCTAACATTCTTGAGGGGGTAGAGAGAAAGTTGGAATGGGTCAAACTAATCCCAGGAAACTGTCCTGCAAGAGAATAATTTAGAAAGTTTAAGGGCCAGTTAATCTGGGATTGAGCAGTTATAGTCCCACTTTAATGACTTCATTTTTGGGTGTAGTTTTTCTGATTTTGTCTTTTTTATCTTTTTATCTCATCTTTTTTATCTTTTCTTTTTAAATGAGTTATAGAAAGCTGTTTCTTGTGGTCTGAAGTATACAGATGCTCAATCTCTTGGAACAAGAATCAGATTGATACTGTCATTGCTACTGGAAAGAGCTCTGATCCTCTACTACCCCAACATGGCTCACCTCCCCATCTACTCCCTTCCCTGGCCACCACTGCCCTAGAGCTCTAGTATTCTCCTATTAGAATGTAAACCCCTTGAGGACAGGAACTGTCTTCATATTTAGATAGCCATTGCCTAGCAGGAAAGTGCTTGGCACATAGTAGGTACTCAGTGAATACTTGCTGTTTAATGGTTTGACCAAATGATGAGCAAGAAAAGTGAGGAGCTAGAACTTGCCTCTCAAGTTCCAGCTGGCTTTCCTCATGGGTAGGTGCCATGCCTTCCCTATTAGACTTGGGCAGACGAAGGAGGCCAAGCCCTTACCCCATTTTTCTGAGGACTGTTCTAGCTCCTGGTCATTGGCAAAGATGGGGGTGTGGGTGTGGAGGTGAAAGGCAGGTGCTGGTAGCTCCTGAAGGATCACACGTAATTCATCTCGGTCTTGGGAGCCCGGCAGTTTGTGGGTCTTGGCATACAGGTTGGCAGCTGCCAGAATATAATCCAGGTGGGTGTCCTACGGTAGAAGCCAGGATCAGTGGGGCCTAAATGACTCTCTTTTGCCTATTTGGATGTATGCATATATAGTTAAGTATATATATGTCTACTGTGTGTGTGTATGTATGTGTCTGTGCAAATGCTCCCCTTCATATAGATATTCTGTGTATGGCCATGAGCATGTGTCTCCATACATAGCTCAATGTGTGTATTGTGCAATGTACCTGCTTGTCTGCATATGTATATTTCTATGTGCACTTGTGTCCCCAACATGCACGTATGCATATATGTCCTCTGCTTCCACTGTATATATCTAGTATGTACAAAGTTGTTTTCAGGTTTGTCCTTTCCCTTCATTAGCTCTTTGAGGGCAAAGACTGTGTTTCTTACTTTCTTTGTCTCCTCAGTGTTTAACATGGGGTTAAGTGCACATAGTAAGCAATTAATAAATGCTTGTTGATTGATACACACACAGTATGTACATTTGTCTGTGTTCACGTATATGTGTCTATGAGTCTGTGGGTCTGTGTCTATGTGTCTCTGTGTGGATCCCAATATACCTCCCCTTAGGGGTCCCATTCCCATGTCAATACCATGGCCTGTTCTTAATTCTGGACAAGCGGGGGAAAGGTATGAAGCCCAGATTATGAACTCTTCAAGATTTAGGGAGGCAGGAATAGGCACCGATCACCCTCGTGGTGATCAGTTCTTGGCTTTCCTTCCTCACCCACCCTGGTTCCTCTGCCCCAGCCTCCAAGCCCCTACTCACCCTGCTGATGTCAAACTCCAGAGGCTGGGGACAGCGTTTGGTACCAGACCAGAAGGGGACTCCTTCCTCATTCACCTGGGGAGTTAGGGCAGGTCTGAATTCTCATCAGGAGCACTATTACTGACTCCTCCTCGCTCCCTTTGCCTCCCCCAAATACATACACACACACACACACACACACACACACACACCCCTACTCCCCGCTCCCTTACCTTGTCATGGGGAAAGTACTGAAGAAGGTGGGTTATGCTGTCATGGAAACAATGTTGCCAACGACCCCAGGCCCAAGCTACACATTCCTGCCAACCCTGTGGTGGGCTGAGGAAGGAAAGGCTTGCCGTCTTCAGATAATCTAGGGCTTGTGGCCCCTCCATTCTCTCTAAGAAGTCTGGCTCCCTGGGAAGAGAGAATCCTCAATGCAGAGCCCTAGGGTCTGGGCCCCTGGGACTCAGGAACTGAGCCAGACCACATGGGACCTGAGCTCCGAGCTATTTCTCCCTCCCCCCTATCATTCGAGTCACTGCCTTTAGCTCTGCTCCCACAACAGGCATTCTGGTCCCTACCAACCTGTATACCTGGGCCCACGGGCTGTGGGGCTCTTGGAGCCAGGGTAAACACCATCCTCCACCCACCAGAGAACAAGGCTCAGTGATACGCAGAACCTGGGGCCCCCACGCTGCTGCTGAAGACCCCATCCCACCCCTTGCCTTCCCCTGCCAAGGCCTTACTGTAGGTAGCGGTTAATCATCTCTGCTGGCAATCTGAACAGCCCTTCAAACTCATTCCAGGCCCACTGTGTCAAGAGAGTAAGTGAACAAAGTGGCTGGTTGGGCCCAGCCTGGAAGAGGCAGGTCTCTTAAACTCTGTCCATCCTCTGTACCCCTCATTGTCCTGGAGCCTTTGCTCCTGCCTTTAGACCACAGGATCATGGAAAGGACCCTAAAGATCATCTGGTCCAACCCTCCCCATTTTCAGATGATGAAACTGAGACCCAGAGAGATTAAGTGATTTGCCTAGGGTTCCATAGGCAGTAAACAGCAGAGCAGGGATTCAAACTCAGATCCTTGGACTCCAAGCACTCTGTTCTACTAGGATGCCTCCCTCACCCCTATTCCCTCTGTCTCCTAGAGACCCTCCTGGAAAGAGGAACAAGGCTCAGATTAGGAGGAAGGTGAGGGTTCCAGGGGGCGAGTTAGTTACCTGTAGGGTGTGCTCAATGGTACTGGGAAAGTGGCGTAGGGTACAGACAGGGTACGCAGTCTCGGCATCTTCGGACGACGTGCTGTACGGCTGGGTCAGGCAGGGCACAAAGATGGCAGCACTGCCTTGGGTCCCTTGAGTGCCTGATTCTAACATTGGCTTCATATAGTGGATGCAGCGTTCGGACACATACTTACCTAGGAGTCAAAGAGTTGCAGAGTGAGAAGGCACCAGGGCTCAGGAACAGGGCACCTGAGAACTGGGGACCAGGGGCTTCTTGTGGGTACTTGGGCGACAGTCTAGTATCAGTATACAAGAAGTGTCTCCCCTTAGGGCAGTGGATGGTGCACTGAACAGAGTGCTGGGCATGGAGTCAGGAAGATCTAAGTTCAAATCTAGCCTCAGACACTTACTAGCTGTGTGGACAAGTCACTTAACCTCCGTCTGCCTCAGTTTCTTCAACTGTAAACTGGGGATAACAATAGCACCTACCTTGCAGGGTCTTTACTTTCACTAACCTCTAACTCAAATTCAGCATTTCCTTCAACAATTTAAAAACCAGATTCTGAGAGAGGTTCCATGTGCTTCACCAGTTAACCTAAAGGGGAAGGAGTTCCTGCCCTACCTGGTTCTTAGTTTCTTCCTCTTTTGTAAAATGAGGAGCACCGGACTTGATGCGTTCAAGGCCAAGGGGTTAGGTCTAAATCCTACCCCCAATGAGGATGACGTACGGGCCTGGAAGCTGTCCAGGGCAGAGGCCACACCATCGAGGCTGGAGAAGAAGTCATCCCCGAAGACGTGTTCAGTGTCAGGGCCCAGTTCTTTTGTGTGTGCCGTCACAGAGAGAGCTGGGTTCATGCTTCTCACAGCTAGAGCTGCTGCTTCTGACTTGGGCTTCTGGAAGGAGGTGGTGGAGAAGCTTAAGGGGAGACTGGGGCAGGGAGTCCAGAGTTCTGCTTTTCTCTGCCTAGCCGGGCCTGGGAACCAGGGGTGCAAAGTTGAGGAGTCCGAGGAAAAGGGGATAAAGGTAGCGCCTTTGGGGCTGTGGAATTCATGTTACAGATCTTCTTAGAGAATCCCCCTCCCTCAAGAAAGTGGAACCTTGAGGAAGGGGATGTCAATGGGGGCCGAGGTCCCCAACTCACATTTAGGTCCCATGAGTGGAAGAGGAACTGCCTGCTGAGATTGGAGAGCTCCACAGTGTCCATGTCGGTGACAGTGATGCCCCCGCCCTGCCCAGCTCCCAACCCCAGCATCGCAAAGGTCTTGAGGAGCTCACAGCCAATGGCCCCTGCCCCCACCTACCAGGAGAAAACAGGCCTTGTTGGGGTTAATTTCCCCAACTGATTAGCTCAGCTAAGTTACCTTTTCATTCTCTGAAATAAAGGGAGGCTATTAGACTGACCGACCGCTAAGAGACTTTGTCCCTCTGAAATCCTGTGACTCTGACTCTTTACCCACCTCTGCTCTCCATGGGCCCCTGACCTCCTCCAAAGCTCATTTCCTTGACTCCACCCTGCATGGCTTCCCACATCCCGCTCCTTCCTCCAGTGACCTTAGAGATGGGTAAGATAGTCTCCCTGGAGTTTGCTGGCTTATGGGCTCAGTGTCTAGGAGCCCAGACCTCTGATTTCTACTTCCTGACTAGGTTTGGGGCTTATCAGGATAGGGGGCTCACACCCATAACAGCCTTAAGCAATCATACTTCCCATGAGGCTCAGGCTGGACAAGACAAAATAGCCTCCCTACTCAAGGCCTGGCCTACATGAACCTGGACCCCTGCAGCCCCAGACCCCTTCCTGCTCACCAGGAAGTAGCATTGCTTGCCCAAATTCTTCTGGAAATCATCCCCAAACACAGCAATCTGTCCATCATAACGGCAATTTCTCTGAAGGAAGATTTGGGATGAGTATGTGGGAAGAAAGAGGGGGAAACAGATGACAATCAAAATATGACCTCTACTGCTGTTCACTGTGGTGTAGTGGAAAGAACACTGACATGGCAGCCGGAAGACCTGGGTTTCAGCTACTTCACTGCTCTTGGTAAGGTTTCCTCATCTGTGAAATGGATATAACAGTTGAACTATCTACCTTTCTACCTTCCTAACAAGGTTGTTGTAAGGAAAGTGCTTTATATAAAGCACTATATACATATCAACGGTATATACGTACCCAGTTGTATATACTTATACAGCACATATAACAGAACTCTGTTCATGGCTCATAATGGCTACTATAATGATGTTCCTCAATTTTGAGTGAATCCTGTCCATTTGCCCCCACTAGAGCCGGAACTCCTTGAGATTGTTTCCTTCTTTCTATTCTGCCCTCGCATCCCCCAAGGTCTAACATAAGTGGTCAGACTCCAGGAAGACTTTCCTCCCCACCATCCCTGCCCTAACCCTCCAAGTACTCACTGGGGCACATGCCTCTGGTCTCAGTGGGGGCTTTCCATCTTCCGGCAGACATTCAAGAGCGTCAAAGTACAGCCACTGGTCCAGGGGTATGAACTTCCCTGAGGCTGCCTGGGAAACTCCACATTATTAGCTACCCCTCTCCCCCAACTTTACTCTCTTCCACCTTTATTCTTTCCTTCTACTGCTCCACAGAATCAGCTCCATTTCTCTCCCTTTCTAATTGTCCGGGGTCCTTGAAGCTGTCTTCCTCTAAGTGAGGTGGAGTGGGGAAAAAAGCATAGGCTTAGATTCAAGAGAGATCTGGGTTTGAATCACGATGCCAATATTTATTAACTGTGTGATCATGGGTAAGTCATCAACTCTCTGAGCTTTGGTTTCCTCATCTGTATCATAGGAAGGATACTAAGAACTCCCCTAGTTTTCTCCCAGGTAGTGATGAGGAAAGGACTTGGAAAACTAGGCATCTGGGGGCAGCTAGGTGGCGCAGTGGATAGAGTACCAGACCTGGATTTAGGAGGACCTGAGTTCAAATCTGACCTTAGACACATAACATTGACTAGCTATGTGACCCTGGGCAGGTCACTTAACCCCATTGCCTAGCCAAAAACCAACAACAACAAAAAAAAAAAAACAGAACAAAAAACTAGGCATCTAGGTGGCCTAGTGGATAGAGTGCTGGACTTGCAGTCCAGAAGACCTGAGTTCAAATTCTGACTCAGACACTACGGTGATATTGGGTAAATCATTTAACCTCTCTATGCCTCAGTTTCCACATCTGTAAAATGAGAGAGTTTGACTTGGTAGCCTCTAAGGTCCCTTCCAGCTCTAAGTCTATGATCCTGTGTATGACGTTATAGAAACAGTATAAAAATGGGAGCTGATCCTACTGCCCGCTCCCACTCCCTACCCCCACCCCATCTGGTTCCCCACCCATAAGAGGGGCATTGCATTCAGAGACCCTGGGATTAGACCTGCGTTCCAATCCCAGCTTTGCCACTACTTGTGTGGGCTTGGGAAAACCCCCTCCCGTCCTCTGTGTCTCAATTTCCTTCTACACATCATGAGGAAATTAGACAAAATGGTCTCTAAGATCCCCTTAGAAATGGTCTTTAAATTCTTAGATGCTCAAGGACAACAGAGGGCATGGAAGTTTGGGACTAGGCTACCCTCTGGTGGCCGCTTCTGGTTACTGCAAGCTAGTGGCTCACCAGCGTTGGTCGGGGGTTGCCTGAATGTCTCCCAGTCTGGTCCCTGGTTCTCACCTTCAGCATCTCTTGGGCAGCCATCCCGCCAAATACCGAGTTTATGGGGCTCAGGTCCCCAGTGCTGGTCATAGCAAACTTCCTCACTAGTGCCTCATCGAGGGGCTCATTCACCTTCTTGCCATTGTCTCCCTGAAGGGGTTCCAGGCCCTGGGCCAGGATCACCAGCTCATTCGCGTCCTCCTGTCCAGGAGATGCAGGTGACGAAGAGAAGACTCTTTCCCCAGGCTCCGGCCAGCCCCAGCTCTCCCTTCAATCACTAAGGTTCTGAGGGTGCCAGGGCAACTCACCAGGCACCAGGGTCTGGGGAGGTGGCCAGTCTCGGCCTGGTATTTGTGCAGTGCCCGGAAGGCCTGATGCAAGCAGCGGGCACGCTCTGCCTCCTGAAGGTTAGCTGCCATGATCCTGGGCTGGTGCAGTGACAAGGGCAAGGCCTCCTAGAGATGTGAGGATGGGACACCCCACCTTTATCTAGTCCTCACTCCCCTTGCTCCCCTCCCCTCCCCTACTCGACCTTTTAGAACAGAACTTTTCACAGCAACAGCCCTCCCCCCTTCCCCTCAGTGTGCAAGCTTCTGCCTAAGGGCTCAGGCCTCAGGGTTTAGAATCAGAGCATTGGGGTTCAAATTTGGGTTCAAATTCAGGTTCCACTTACTACCTGTGTGACCTGAAGTCATATGAAGTGATTGAATTAGAAGTTCACTCAGGTCCTTCCTAGCTCCAAACCCTATGATGCTATGGTTCCTCGGCAGTTGAAAGGCCTGTCCCTCGCCCCCTGTCCTCACACATACTTGCCAGTCTCCCCCAGCCCCCTGGTATTCACTCCTTTACAAGGACACTCACATAGGAACGAGTCTGAGATCTCTTGACTTGTGTGATAGCTCCACTTCGTAGGTAGGGGGAAAAGGCCGTGGTGTCCCCAATCTCGAGGGTCCATTTGTCTGCCAAGTTTTCCACCACCAGAAAGTACAATGCTTGACCCCATCCCACTATTCTAGGAACTCTGCCCTGAAATTAGGCTGGCCTTAATTCCTCATGATTGAGAGTACTAGCCCCTAGGCCAACGGGACAGAGAGATGTGCTCAAAGGCGGGGGCCCTGTCTGCCCTATTAGTGTAAGGAGCTCCCTGAGGGCAGAAGTTACTGTTCCTCCTCAGACTAGGGGCTCCCCAAGGATAAGAAACTCCCCCTCTGGGTTAGGGGCTCCATAAAGGTGAGGGGGGCAAGACTGGGGACCTTCCCAAGCGTGGGAGCTGATCCTGCTCTATAACTATTACCTTTCCTCTCTCTCCTCATCCTCATTCCCCAGCTCTGGGACTTTGTCACACTCAACACATACAGGATTGGTATGACTCACCTCGAACTCGGATGGGCAGAGGACCACAATCATTGAGCTCTGTCATGCCTTCAATGTCAGAGAAGGTCACCCAGTCTCCATCCTGGAACCGATGTCCATTTTCTTCAAGAACAGTGAGTATACCAGGAGAACCCTAAATAAGACAGGACTCAGGTTGTCTATGTCAGTGCCCTCTGCAGGGGGCCCTCAGGCCACTCCTCATACTAGGCTGTAGCAGTTAAGGTTGTGGCCCGTCAACACTCACCTGAGATATGTGCCCAATGTTGCTCTGTAGGGGTTCGGCTTCACTAGGGTCGTGGATGATGAATTTCTCGCCAAAGTCACAGAAAAGCTGCCTGGGAAAGAAGGAAGGGGAAGATGGGGCCACTGGGGCAGCTCCTGGTAGTGGGCCCTTTGAGAGCCAAGGGGCACAGTTACATTCAGTTAAGGAATTAAAAAGATTTATTAAGCCTCTACTCTGGGTCCGAAGCACTGGGCCTGAGGAGGGGGGACTCCAGGACTCTTTCATGAGAAGCTCACAGTCTAGCTGCAGAATGTGTAACCCAAGCTATCTCATGAAAAGTGCATTAGAGCGGCAAACAAAATGTGGTATGAAGTCTGAAGGGGAGATAATTAACCACAAAATCAATGAAAGCTTCAAGGAGTTGGCATTGAGGTGAGTTTTTGAAGAGCCAGAGCAGGGTAAAGGTTATCCTGGGCGAGGCAGGTATGGGGTTTGGAGCAGGAAGGAAAAAGGGGAATGGACCTTTGACATTACTCACCCCACCAGGCCCCGAGTGCTGGCCACCAGGAAGTGCACGCCATGCTCGTGACAAAGGCTTCCCACCTGCAGCTGTTCTTTCAGTGTGGAGTCTGTTAGCACCACCACCTGGGGATCCTTGGAGCTCAGCATGCAGCCTGAGCTGACCAGGCCTTTCACTCCCCTCCCACCTTCATGCACTCCCCTCCCACCTTCATGCACTCCCCTGAGATCCATCCCTAATGGCTTCCTTCCCCATTGCCACTATAGGATCTGGACAGGAACCCCCAACACAGGCCAGCAGGAATGGAAGAAGAGGGCTCTGAACATGGAGCCCTGAGAGGCGGAGTTCCATGGATGGGGTGTGGGGGAGGAATCTCCTGGTCTTTCATGAGGGGCAGGTGGGGGCAAGTGTAAAGGAGAAGTGTACCTGGAATCCTCGTAACACAGTCTCAGTGAGGGGTCCATCATAGGTACTGATGTACACATCGCTGTTGAGCTGGGCTAGGTGGGGCAGAGATGCTTTGGCCCTGTTTTGTCCTATGTCCTTTTCGGACAGGAAGAACTGGGGGAGAACATGTCTTGGGGTAGTAGTGGCAAGAGAGGAAAAAACACTCTTCCCCCCATAGCTCTGAGCCTCCACCCAGCTGGGCTCTTCAGCTGCTACTGTCCTTTGCCTCACAGGTCCCTTTGGATCTGACCCTTCCTTACTTGGGAAGCAAGATCCATCCAGCAGGTCGGACTGGGGTCACGCAGAGTGAGTCTGCCCACTCCGGCCAGGACTAGGTTCTTGGCGATCTCGACACCTAGCCCCTTCATGCCAGACACCAGCATGGAAGACCCCCGCAGCCTCCTCATGGCTTCTGTGCCTAGAACATACCTTGAGGGGTGGAGAGAGAGTTGTGGTCAGCTGCTATTCCTGCTACCCAACTCCCCCTCTGAAAAGATGGATTAAAATTTGGCTTCTTGCCAACCTGTGCAGTCACTCCCTCCCAACAGCACCCCCCCATCCTCTTGTACTTACAGCTGTCGGGAATACAGTTGTTCATTGATATCCAAATATGTCTTGAGGTCACCCATCCTCTTGTATGGACTCTCTACTCGCTCAGATACCCAGCCAGACACTCAACTGGGCAGAAAAAAACATCTCCCCACCTCCCACCCCCGACAGACACCCAGTTAAGTCCTACTGGCTGAAGCCCTAATCCCCAGACAGAGCTACAAACAGCTAGTCAGTGTGGCTCTACGCTCCCTGACGTGGCTCAGAATGATGAAAGTCAATGCTTGCCCTCTCTTCTCCCTTTCTTTATTTCCCTTCCCAGGACTGTCCCGTGTCTAGGCTGCTGCCTCAGTTCTGAATGCTCCCTTGTCCTTCACCTCAGGGCTCTGCTCAGTTAGAAATAAAAGGAGCAAAGAGAAAGGGAAAACGGGACTCAGCTGTTCTCCGTTTCCTCCTTCCCTTTTATTTTCTAGGAAAGCGAAAGTGAAAGCCTGAATCTTAGGGACCCAGTCAACTTCTTACTTTCCATATCAACCCAGAACACGCCCCAGTGCCCAGAAGAAAACACAGTAGAAGAACGAATACGCTGCCTTCATTAGCTGGCATTATTCCAGCTGACATCACTCCCCTTCACACACTCCATTCAAGCCGGACTGGTTGACTTACTATTCTCCAAACTCAGCATTCTCTCACCTCCATGAAGTCCCGGGGACCCCAAATCCTCCTCACCACTACCTCACAGAATCCCCTACCTTATCTGCCGCTGCTGTGACCTCTCCCATCCTGCTACCTTCCTGCTTCTCAAATGATCATGTAGCTGCTTACCGGTTTACATGTGGTTCCCCAATGTCACTAGTGCACTTTCCTCCTTGTGGGGACTGGTTTTCCATTTCTTTGTGTTACTAGCAAGCAGCACACCACAAAGCCAGGATGTCAAACCCAAATAGAAAGGTTTCCCTGAAGGCTGCACATTAACCTAGAAAGCCACAAATTAACATTCTTTGTACTGTATTTTTATTTTGTTAAATATTTCTCAATTACATCTTAATCTGGCAGCATGTTTGACATCTCTGCAGTCAATGTTTAAATTGGGTAAAATTGGGCAGAGGACAGGGAATCTGGCCCAGGGACCTAGGTCCTTTTTTTTTTAAAAATATTTTTATTTATTTCGTTAAATATTTCCCAATTACATGTAAAAAAAATTTAACATTCACTTTTTTTTAACATTTTGAGTTCCAAATTCTCTCCCTCCCTCTTGCCCCTACTCTCTCCTTGAGAAAGCAATTTGATATCAATTATACATGTGACGTTATGCAAAACATACTTCCGTGTTAGCTGTGTTGCAAAAGAAAACACAACAAAAAAAAAGATAAGATTTAAAAAGTATTCTTCAATCAACATTCAGAGAAGTGATGGTTGTTGGTAATGGTGAGACTCAGGGTGTAATCATTACCATAGTAACCTTAGATACAGTCATTGAGTAGGTCAGATTTAAGGAGACTGAGGAATTGGGAGATTAGTGTTTGGGGGGAGCATCAATATGGATGTTGAAGTCTCTTCATAGAAGGGCAGGAGTTGGGGAAGGGAGAAAGAAAATAAAGTGTGTGTGTGTAGAATTAGTATGGGTGGTGGCAGGGGAAGGTCTCTTGAAGAACTAAGGATGAATAGTAACAACCAGGGTTCTGCATGAGGCCTCTTCACAGAGAGGACTCCACTAGGTAATGAGTTAAACCTTGTCACATATTTCTTACTGTTTGCCTCACTACTGTGTAAGCCTACTCCTCCCATGAATGTTGTGTGTATTTGTGGGAAGGAGTGAGCCCGGTCCTTAGGAGGTTTTGTAATAATCACATCTTTACCATGTTATCTGAGAGTAGTAGTAGCTGCCTTCTGGGGAAATGCTATCATCTTCTTCCTTTCTTTTTCTTTTCCTATTCCTTTTTTTTTTTTCTTCAAAAAACCAGGACAATTTACTTTTGTCCTGTGCAGTTTTCAATTTGATTTCTTGAAATATAGCTCTGAAAAACAGGCTTTAAAAAAAGAAGCCTGTTATTTTTAGATGGAGCTACTTGACTATGCTTTTAAACCCAAATCATTCTGGCTTTCACTGAATGGCCAATAGGTCCAGCCCAAGTCTGCCTTGGCTCACGGTTTAGGTATGGATGGTTCCGAATGAGTGTAAATAGCAATTGTTTTCTGCTCCAGAGTGGGCAAGGCCATAGCTTGAGGGGATGGCAGAGTCGAGGAAATCCTTTCATAGAATTTGAGACACTTGAACATTGTTGCAAATGGAGGGGAAGGAGGGCTTCTGGAGACAGAAGACTGTGTGAAAGGCTGAAGTGGAGGACATAGCTTTCCCAAAATGAAGGTTTTGAGATGAGGAGGGACATTGAGCAAACACACTGGAGGTCCAAAGGGCTGAGGTGGTCCAGAGGAGGGGTGCTGATGGCCCTGGGGAAACCCTATCTAAAGGGGGTCACAGAGTCCACACCAGAGAAAGCCATTTATCGCTCTGCTGAGTTAATTTTCCCCACACTGGTTGTGGCAGCAGCGCAGAGTATCACCAACATAAAAGCTTGGGCCCAGCCCTGGGGGGTGAGGGAGAATGAGATGCAGCCCATTCCAGGCTCCAGGGACAGCCGAGTTTGGGTGATCCAGGCTTTGTGCGGGGTGCTGGATCACAGACTTGGAATTGAAAGGAAATAGATTATACAGGCCATTTTAAAGATGTGGAAAAAAGACCAAGAGGGTCGATGTGACTTGACCTAGGTCAGACAGATAGGAAACAGCGGGACTAGAATTTGAATCTAAGACTTGTAACTGCAAATAATATTCTTGCAACAGTTAGACCCTCTTTGTTTTTACAGATGAAAACACTGAGTCTCAGGAGAAAAGAAAGCCAGGATGTGAACCTGGGCCCACTGCCCCCAAATGCAGTGGGGACTGTGGGCAGGTGCCTGGGCAGGAACAGGTGGTGCCAAGCAAGTCCTGAGGCAGGAGGGCAGGAGACGAATGGTGACTGGGAGAGGATGGCCAGGACAGTAGGAACTCCCTGAGGGCAGGGAGTGTTTGTGCCTTTCTCTGTACCCTGGGGCTTCCTGAATGCTTGTAGACTTAACTAGATCCCTGGTGCCCCCCAGGGTACCATGCTCACTTTCATTCTACCCTCCTATCACTGAGCCTTGGGCCCATGGAGCAAGTCAAGGGTTGGCCCTCTGAACAGTCTCGAAGTGTTTCATAGTATTTAGACAGGAACTAAAACAAGCCATATGGGGATCTGCCAGGGGTGGGAGGCAGGTCAGGAGGCCCTGCCTGAGTTCACTGAGCTCACCTCATGTGCATTCTTGTCTTGACTCCAACTCTGCTCAGGAAGCCTTCTCTCTCTCCAGGAAGGAAATCTCCTTTCTAGCCCCACCCCCATTATTTGTCCTAGATCCTAGTGCGTGAGACAAAGGGAACCACAGAAACTACTGGCAGGTGACCTCCAAAGCCCCAGTCAAATACCTACCCCCTTTCCTGGATGCCCCCGACAGGAGGGCATCCCTAGTTCCTTCTCCCTGGTCGCAGGGCACAGAGCCAGTTGGCTGGGCCTAACACTTTTATCTTCACCTCCAGGCAACAAAAGCACTCAGTCACACCCACACATTTGTGAAACTGCCTTTATTTTACAGGGATCCTCACAAGAACACTAGGCACAGCCCATGACACTCCACAGCATGCCCAGCTCCACACCGGCCCATCACCTTCACGAGAAAGCAGGCAGGCCTTGCTTCACTCCTTCACTCCTCTCCAGGCCAACCAGGACAGCAGGAATCACAAAGGCACAGTGTCTGCCAGTGGGGTCTGGGCTGGGTAAAGGGGCAGAAGGGATTGGACCCTGAGGGCCCTAGGGAGACCAGGGCTAGGCTCTGGGCTCCATTCTGGTCACAAAGAGGAAAATCTGCATATCAAGGAGATATCTGGGTGCAGGAGTGAGGCGGGGGTGCGGGGGGGTGGGGGTTCGGTGAGGTAAGAGAATCAAGGCCCTGAGCAATGGAGGAGTTAAAATGTACCACAGTCTAAGCTGCCTGGGCCCTGCTGAACCTAGAAGGCAAGAACAGGCAACATAGGAAAGGAAGGGAGCCATCTATGGGGACTTTGCTGCTTACGGCCCCTGCCGCTGGTCCTCACTCATAAGCCACCACAGGTATGGCCGGAGCTGGCTGCACATGCCATGATGAGGGCAGCTCTCAGCTCCAGAGTGTGCAGGAGGAGTCCCCATGGGGGACCTTGAGCAGTAAGTGCCCTGGGTGGCTCTCTGGGACACCCCAACAGGTGGCACCCAGTGAGGGCAGATGCTGTACTTAGCATCGGTAGTGTCTCCACCCAGTGGGCTGCAGGACTTACTGGAGCTGCTCCCCACTCCTGCTCCCATGCATCCCACGCCAACAGCCAACCCTGTCTCTCAGAAGCCTGGAGAGAAAGGGAGAATGCCCAGTGGCCTTTTCTTGTATGCTCTGGCCCCAAGGGCCTCCAGGTTATCTCAGGAAAGTATCCAACCTAGCCTGGACCGAGGGGGCTGCTTTCCTTGACACCACCTTGTGCCTGGGCTTTGGCTTTACAGGCAGTGGACGGATGACAGAGGGGTCAGTCTGGAGAAACTGGTCAAGGGAAAAGTTCAGGTATCTGGAGACAGCAGGAAGGGGGTAAGAACAGAAAAAAAATCTCTGCTCTAGGAGGACACACACAGTGCCCACACTATCCCAATGTACAAGAAAAATACCACCAAAAGACTGCTGAGCTCTAACTAACTATTAATCTTGGTCCCAGAGAAGTGCTGATGAAATACTCCTTCCTCCTCTCAGCAAAGCAGTACAGAACCACCAAGTCAGAATGTGGCAAGATTCTTGGTTACAACAGAGTTAAATAAACAGGTGTGAGGACACTTAAAGAGGAAATGATTTTGCTGTAAAAACAAAAGGCAACAATAACACTTAAAAAAACCCCAAAGGTTCAGCAGTCTCAGTCTGATTGTCCAAGGCCTGGAGATAAAAAGAGTCCCTCCTCCCAGGAAGCCACCCAGTTTTACTCAACCACTCAGGACACAGCTGGGCTCACGACTACATTCTCCCAGGCCTCAGGGCTGGGAGCTGCAACGTATGAGAGGGTATCAGATGGTCTCTACCATCTTCACAAATGCCATCTCCCCAGCGGCAGCCCTGACCCCTCCTCCAGCTCCCCATGGCAAACTCAGGGTCAGAGTAGAAAGGATACAGGTTGAATATACTTGCTCCGTCCTCCAAGCCCATCAAATCCTGTTCTTACCTATGACAATACAATAAACATATGAGTGCCTATCCTATACAGAATGCTAGGATAAGTGCTGGGAGAAATAAAAAGCTTTGAGAAAAGATAGGATCCCTGTCTGATGCTCTATCATCACAATAGTGAACATTTACATAGATAGCATTTTTAAAATCTTCGAATCACCTTCATACATATTACTTCATTTGATCCTCAAAACAACCCTGTGAAGTAGGTTCTATCATTCCATTTTGCAGATAAGGAAACTGAGGCTTATAGAGACATGTAAGTGTGATAGAAGTAGAATTCCAATACAGGCCTTTCCTTATTTTCAAGTCTAGCACTTCTACTGCTATTTATTTATTTATTTACTTACTTACTTAACTTACTTATATATTTATTTATTTCATTCAAGTCTAGCACTAGGGAGATAATTAAAGAGTGACTGTGAAGGAGGTAGCAGCAAAAAAGAGGAAAGAAAGGTTCTGTAAGAAGAAGATGAGGTGAAGAAGGCCTGGCTGCTGAGCAGCCAGCCCCAGACTCAGTCAGTCTGGCCCTGGCTCCAGCTCTTGGCCCAACATGTAGAAGGATGTTAATCTAACTCCCCCAGAAGGCCATAGGGCATGAGGGGGGTGGGTGGCAGTTCAATGCCCACAGGCTCACTCTGGGGGCGGGTTGCCAGCAATACTTACAGTTCCACTATTCCTGCATGGGTCCCCCAGGTTGCCTAGGGGCCTCTTCTTGCCCAGGACAGCATTCCGAATGAATGAGGGAAAGTTCCCCACCAGCTCATCATCTTGTTCTCCAGCCCAATGCTGACCCCCAAGGGAAAGGCCATTCATCTGAAGAGGAAAAATCCAGGTCATAGTTAATACCTTAGACAGACAGGTCTATACACATCCCCAGAACCTCAGGGGATTTGGGAGGAAGAATCTTATGAACCTAGAATGTTAGAGCAGGACATCCCTGAGAGATTGGCTAGTACAACCATCTTGTTTTAAAACTAAAGCCCAATGGGAGGTTAATGACTTGTCCAAAGTCACCCAACTGGTTCTTAGGAAAACTTGAACTAGAACACAGGTTTCTTTCTTACCAAAGCTCTTGCCACCCCATGAACAGAGAGAGAACCCCAGAAGTAGACCCTCAGTGTCCTAGAGTGGCCTTCCCTTGAATCTCCAGGGCCCAGGCTGCTACCAGCTCCTACCTGTATTTAGGGCTAGGAGAGGGAAGAGCAAGAGAGAAGCACAGCTCTTAGTTGCTACTGCGGCATGGAAATATCCATGCTGATCCAGCTTTAGAGCTGGAAGCAGACCCTAGAGTACTTAATCTACACCTTCAATTTTACAGACTTTTGGTGCCAGCCACTCCATGCTGTGGTAGTTAGGATCATGACCATTGCTGCCAGGCCGTCAGATGGGTCCCTTTGAAACTTGCCCAGAAAGGTCTCAACCCCAGGAAAGGACAGAGCGACAGGCTGCTGGAGCAGGATCTAATTTATCTTTTCATATAGAGATAACATTGAATGATATTATTTGGCCTAAAATGGTGAAATGTGGCATGATGCAGTGAGGCCAGGGTTCAGTTTCCTCTACCAATACTCACTAGTTATGTGATCCTGGGTATCATCTAACTTTTGGGAAACATGGCTTCCTTATTTATAAAATATTCACATTACCTACTCTACAGGTTGTACTTTGTGCATCTCAAGGCACTACTATATAATAATGATGTCTCCATTCTATTGTTTATGTAGATAAGAGGAAAATGGGGGAAACAAGTTCTTGGGGCCATGACAGTGGGGAAAATTTTTTAAGTAAAATTTTGTTGATGCTTTTTTATTTCTATACCAGTCATGTCCTATATACCTTCGTGCCTCCCAACTTGGAACAGATGGAAATTCTAGGCTCAGTTAAACAAGAGTGCCAGGCACATAGTAGGCACTTAAGTAAAAATTTGCTGATTGACTGAATAGATCTATTATGTTTACCTTTACTCATGTTGAGTAGAAATAATCTGGTTCATTCTGTACGCTTCCTATTTGAAAAAATTCACCTGTACAAGAAAGAATACTAAGAGGTGGTGGGAGTTCTACCTTACCCTTGGAAATTTTTTTTTACTAAAGGCAGATGGGCAGGACAGACTGCCATTTGGGAAGGCTCAAGTCTGGACTTGATTACATAATAATAATGTCCTACATTTGCATAAGATTTTATAGCTTCCAGTTCCAATATCTCATTTAAGCTCCCGAACTGAGGACACAAATAGAAAAGCCAAGACAGTCCCTGCTCTCAAGGAGCTCACTTTTTAATAGAAGGATTCAACATCTATGAGATCCCAAGATCACACAGGAAGTAGCAAAGAAATTCCAAAGCTGGACACAAGTCCAGTACTCTTTCCCTCACTGTGGTGTTCCCCACCATACCCTACATGGTGAGAGCTCTCTCTCACATAGGAAGGCTACCTAACCTACAGAACCCAGACACACTAGCTTCAGAGATGAGGCAAACACCAAGGTAAAGAGTCCAAAGCTGGCCAGGATGGGATGGCTCTTAGCCTTCAGGCCTGGCCATCCTCCTGGCTTTGGAGGGGTCTAGGACAGGCCAGTTCCACAGAAGAACAAGTGGAGACGTACCTTCGTGAGGTCTTTGTTGTCTTTTCTGGAGATGCCAGGAGTCAGAGAGCTGTAAAAAAAAATCCAATGAGAGGGTGAGAAGCTGGGTAGAGAGCTTGCATGGGGGTCTGAGCTCTGGTCAAAGCCGGCTGCCAGAGGCTGGGGGCCATCGTGCTAGGCCTGGCCAACCTTGAGCCATCACTAGGCAGGCTCCTCCCCAAATTATTTTGACAGAAGAGGACGGGCTTGCTTGTACTCCTTTGTGATACACCTTTTGGGAGCTGGCCTAGCAGCTTGTAGAAGCTTGTAAGCTTCTCAGCCTAGCAGCTACTCTCAGAATCATCCACCAGGGGGCACCCTCTTTACAGGTTTGCCATGGTTCTGGGCACAGCTCCATTCATTCCTTCCCTTGACATTCACCAAGGATCCAGCTAGGCTCTGTATTTCCTGCTAGCAAAAAAGGGGTGGTATGGTGTGTGTGTGGGGGGGGAATGATGGGAAAAGTCACAACATTTTAAAGATATCAAATAAAAGGTTTTCTCTAGTTCCATGGAATTCAAACAGTTCTTCTTAGATACAAAGACCATGTCTGTGGTGATATTTGCTTACAAAGATCATAAAAGTTATACCAGAAGGGATCTGAGAGTTCACTTTGAGGTCTACACCTCTCACTTTACAGATGGGGATACTCTAGTCTCTCTTGTTCATCTTTTCCTTCGGGTGTCTAGACAGTGGCACTTTTGAGGCCAGCTGTCTCACAAGGACACTTAAAGGACCCATCTATTGGACTACTGAGCTTAAACTGTCTTATTTAGCTCCTTTCCCCCATGCCTGAAACACACACACACACACACACCTTCCACATCACTACCTGTTGAAATATCTCTTTTGAGGTTCAGTTAAGATGAGCCTGCCTCAACCTTCCTTTGACCAACAACTAAAAATGATTTCTTTTTCCTCAAATTTTCCTAGAACTCTTTGCTTAGGTCTCTCTTTTAGCTTGATTACAACATTTTAATCTTGCATCAAATTTCATTTGTGCAAGTCATATCCCATTAGATTATAAATTTCTTAAGGGCAAGGGCCCTGTGATCTCTCATCTTTGGCTCTGATCCAGACTGTACATAGCAGTACCGGAACACTTGCTGAACTGAGATCGTTTACTCTCTAAGAACCTGTTAAATGGCACCTCAGGTTTTCCAATGGTTGTGTCAGAGTCAAGTATGGAATCCATTTGTTGTTCCCCTCCCTCTATCTATCCCTTTCCATCACTACTGATGACATTATGAGCCTAAAGTATCTCTCAAATGATAGGAACTAATTGTCACCTGCCACTAAATCTTGTGCCTTCACTTCATTTCTCCATTCAACAGACGTTGAAACAAGCAGGTGTTTGGCAGTTTGGGGGACTGCTTAAGTTTGCTAATTGACCCTTTCCTCCCCTTGACAGATTTCTTCTAATAGCACAAGATTCCCTCTGATCCTGGAGGACGTTAATTTTACCAGACTGAGAATCTACTCAGTTTAGCCGGTTTACTACAGCTGCTATCCACAGCGGAGTTTATCTTCCACCTCCCGCCCCCCCACCCCCAGTTTAATCTCCTCTTTGGGTCCTCTCACTTTGTAACAGACATCTACCTTGTTTCTTGGCCCACAGCCTTTCCTGACCTCCGATCCACCCTATACACTGCAGATTAATTTCCCTAACATTGTTTTGATCGTGTCACTCTTTGTTAAAAAAATTCAAAGAATGTTTTTTATGAATGTTTATGAAATATGAATGTTCCTGAAATAAAATATGACTAAATTCCTTCAATCCAGAATTCAAGGCCCTCCACAGACTAATCCAAATTTACCTTCCCAGCCTTATCTCACTTTCTCACACTGCTGAAGCCGAAACAGGCTATTTCCCCACTTGCCAAATAGGCTCTATTCCTTCCTGCCTCAGTGCTCCTGCTGACACTGTTTCCTCAATGTGAAATACCCATTCCCCAATTTACCCATCAAAATCCGACCCATCCTTCAAGCCTCAGCTCAAATACCACTGCCACCATGAAGCTTCCTCTGACCTCCTGTGTAGAAGTGATCTCCTCCTTCTCAACTGCTAGAGTTTTTAGTTTATTTCCCCTCCTTAGATACAAATAATTTGAATACAAGGAAGGATGTTATATCTCATGACTTACCAGAGAGTTAGCTATGTGAAAGTAGGAACCATGTCTTACCCCACAACTTCAATAGTACCTTATGCATAATTTAGAATCATAGGATTGGAAAGGGTCTTAGAGGTCACCTAGTGCAACCCTCTACCTCACATTGCTAATTAGTCAGCAAATGTTTGTTGAATAAACACTAGGTTCACTCTCTCCAAGTATCCCCCTAAGTTTCAGCACCTGTTTCTAGATCTACAGAGTAGGCAATTAATGGCACAGGCAGCATAGCAGGAATCTCACCAGGGCACTTAGCTCTGAACTACTTTTCCTGGAACCCCCCAAGTGTCCTCTCTGAACTTCAAAGCTGTTGTCTCTTTAGCTTGTACCAGACACCCCAGTTTGTTTTTGAAGGATTCTTTCTTTTTTGATGAAACTCCCCATCTTTTTCTAATCAGCCCTTTCTGACTTAAAAACACTTCTCAGCCAGTTATCCTTTCTGGGACACATCAGTGTAGCAGACACTGTGCTGGGCTTGGGAGTCAAGAGACCTGAGCTGGAATCCTGCTTCAGACACTTAGTGGCTATGTGCAAGTGGGCAAATCCCTTCACCTTTCTCAGCCTCAGTTTCCACAGCTGTAAAATAGGGTAATAATAGCACCTATTTCACAAAGTTGTGAGGATTAAATGTGATGACACATGCAAAGTGCATTGCAAACCTTAACGAGGCTAAACAAATGCCAGCATCATCATTATTATTCTGACCTCTACCAGCTGCCTATCAATGATCTTTTCCTTGGCATCAACCTTCGCCTCTTTGGGTGACTATTTTTTGTTTGACTATTAAGGCCTTCCATTCACCTTGAATGCAATGGCATTTGAAGACCTGCCCTGTAGAGAGCTACTACCTACTATGGTGGTCTGAGTCAACTTAAATCTCATTCAGACTGCCTCTTTCAAAAACCACAGTATATCTATATACCTCCCCCCTGTCCCCCAACCCCAGCACATTTTCCAGACAGGCAGCCTAAAGAAATGGTACATAGTCACTACTTATTTCTCAGCTGGCTGCACAACCAAGGGACTTCTCCACTAAGCCCCTCCCACCCCTTTTCCAGCTTCCTTCCCCCATTAGATTGTAAGCAACTTGAGGGCAGGGATTATCTTTTTTTCCACATTTGCATCCCCAGTGCTTTGCACATAGGAGGTGTTTAGTGTTTATTGACTGTCTTGACCTCTAGAGTACAATATTTGGCCAAAAGAAGGCCACTTTCTGCACTTGACTACCTAGCTAAAAGTTACCACTTCAGGGTTTTGGAGCTAAGTTACCTTGGACTCTGGGCTCTCAGACCACTGGCCTTGAAGTAAAGTGTTCTGCAGCCTGAGTCAGTTTCTCTCTTGCCAGCCCCAGCAGATCTGTCCTGTCACTAGTCCTAACCACCTGTTCGTCTGGGTCATCTCTCATTGTTCCAATGACTGGCTGGTCTAGACCGTGTCCCTGCTGTTTTGCCTTGAAAATCTATTGCATTATTGCTCAACACTCTTGTTAATTTTTTTTATATGAAACTATTTTGTCCTGTGTGGAAATGTAAAGATATCAAGGAAGAATAGGGAAAGAGGGTAGGAGGACCCCCAAAATGCCTTTAAAACATACTATAACTTCCATAAGACCCCAACTTATAAGTTAAACCCTGTGTTTCCCTACTCTCTGAGCCTACATGTCTAGATGGCCAATAGCCTGTTTGTTAAAGGGCTGAACACTTGATGAAGATTTTGTGTGTGTGTGTGTGATTTTGTGTGTGTGTGTGTGTTCTTTTGTCTAGGCCTCTGATTTCATTGGTGCAGGACTAGTTCAGAGCAGCAGCTGCTCTGTATGTGTATGTATGGGCACACACACACGTACCCCAGAAGTCCTATAATGTCCCACTTTCTGTTTCTCTTGATGTCAGTTTCTCCCTCTCTTCTGAAGAGAGCCACATTCTCTCAGCACATTAAGTCTCTGAAGGGATTTGCTTCTGTTCTTTGCACCTTTGTAGCTTAGAGGCTACATAACAGCAACAATAACAAGAAAAGTACTACAGAACCCTGAATTATCATTAGTTATTACGGCAGTTCTAGTTTGTGCACACTCAGGATCCCTGCCACAGTTTTTCCAGACATCCCTGAGTTCAGGCAATAGGCCCTTCTGACATTTAGACCCTTGTCTGGTGGTTTTCAATCACCAGAATGCTTGTGACCGTACGATGAAAAGCCTATATCCTTACTGTTCAGAGAGGCAAACACAAACACAAACACAAACAGGGAAATGAAGGCATAGGGAGGAAACCAGCAGAGCAAGAAGAGTAAGATGTTGGGAACTTCCAGAGCAGTGGTTTCCAAACTTTCTTGATGCACATCCCTATCAGCAAATAAATTTTGAATGTATACCCCCAATATACACATATTTACCTACTTATAAATCTATTATTACTGTAGTAATAATTACATACATTATACAACTTGCATGAAAAAACACTTTAAAGGATGAGCTAAAAATGAAATAATATTTGATCACACAGTTTATTGAGAAGGGAAGTGACATGGTCAGGTCTGTGCTTTAGAAGACAGGAGACTTGAAGGTAGACCAAAGAGGAGCTCATCCCAAGAGTACAGGTCAGAGGAGGTTAGAACCTGAACAAGTGTTAGCTGTGGGAGAAGACAGAAGGGGACAGATGCAAGAGAGCTTTCAGAAATAGAAACAAGATCTGACAATCTATTGGATATGTGGGGTGAAAGAGAATGAGAATTTGATGATGATACCAAGGTTATGAACCTCGGTGACTGGAAAGATGGTAGTGACCTTAAAAATAAGGAAATCTGGCAACTCTTGAGATTTTACCTTGCACCCTGCAAACTGGCAAAAATAACAAAAAATGGCAACAGTCAATGTTGGAGGGGTTGTGGAAGAATAGGCAGACTAATAAACTGTTGAGGGAGGTGTGACACGGTACAACCATTTGGGAAAGCAATTTGCAATTATGCAAATCAAGTAATCAAATATCCATACCATTACCAGAGACTCCATTACCCGGCTTATACCTCAAAGAAGCCACTGATAAGAAAAAAGTCCCCGTGTACTCCAAAATATTTATAAGTAGCACTTCCTGTGATAGCTAAGAGTTGGAAACAAAGAAGATGTCCATCAGTTGCGGAATGGATAAACAAACTGTGGTACATCGACGTAATGAAATATCACTACACTCTAAGAAATGATATGTAATAAATCCAGAGAAACATGGAAAGATTTAAATGTATTGATGTAGAGTGAAGTAAGCAGAGCCAAGAAAACAACACACACATTAGCTACAACAATATAAACAGAAAGAACAATGACACACGAAAAAGACAAACGTAAACGAACAAACTTATAAAGATTAAATGGGACTCAAATGAAGATAAACAAGAAGACATCCTCAACCCACCCTTTCATGGAGGTGGGAGGTCCACGGTTTATGCATTGCACATGTTTCTGGACTTTTTCAATGTATCAATCAGTTGTCCTGACTTTTTTCCTTCCCTCTAAAAAATACTATTTGTCAAGTGGGATGATTCTTTGGGAGGGGGAGGGCATATACATGGGATACTATGGTGATGTAAGAACCAGAAAATATCCATAAGAACTTATTTTAAAAGACAATAGTAGGGAAGTTTCAAAGAGAAATGAGTTTGGAGTAAAGATAATGAACTTGAACTCAGGAATATCTGACTTCAAATCTAGCCTCAGACACCTGCCAGCTCTGTGATTTTGGACAAGTCACTTAATCTTTGTTTGCCTCGGTTTCCTCAACTGAAAAATGGGGATAACAGGACCTACCTTGCGGGGTTGTTGTGAGGATCAAATAAGATAGTATTTGTAAAGCACTCAGTATAGTGCCTGACACATAGCAAGTACTATATAAATGCTTATTCCCCTCCTTTTCCTCTCTTCCCCCAACAAGATGTGAAGCAGTTTTCCCACCCAAAATGAAAATGGAAAATACAGAGCTCTAACATATTAGTCATTGCCTGGTGGTGCAGAATCTGCCCTCAGAATGGTACTTCAGTATCAGGTTATCTTATAACTATCATGAGGAGCCAATGTCTGGCTCAGAAAGATTATGGTTGGGAGCTTTGCACAGGGAGGGAGCTGAGTAAGGTAGTGTGGAGGGATAAAGTAGGTGTGGTAAGTCTTAAAAATGTGTATCGTGGGGAGAGTATGATATGACCCACATCCCCCTTGGGGTTAGGCCACAGGCCATCACACCCCACCCCCAGCTTTGGAGTACTGGCCAGAGGAGTTAGTGCCCTTTTCTTAGCTCTCCTCTAGCTGTTTCTTCCTCTATCCTCCCTTTACTTCTGTAAAAAGGGGATTTGGGAGCCAGGAACAAAGGAAAATGACCATGAGTAGTAACAGCCTACCCACCTCCCCCTGTCACCACCATTAAATTCTCTGCAGACCAAGCAGCCCCTTAATGGGTACAGGGAGGTGGGATCATAGGCCAGGACAAAGACCATTCACCTTGACTGCTCCAGGCAGAGCTTCTTAGCTGGGACTAGCTTGGAGCTGTGGGGCTGGGCTGGGGGCGTGTCCACATCAAAAGAGGCATTCAGATCAATATCCTCACCACGGGCTGGCTGGCGCAACTTTAGGCTCAGCATTTCCACAGGAGCTGGGCTAGGAAGAGAAAAAGGAATCATTCACTGTAGAGGACACACAGAGTAACATTATCTTCTTCAGGCTCTGACAGCGAGTACACAGCTAGGTTCAACTTATTCACTGTACACAGGGTCCTACCCTACCTACTAAGGTAAGGCATCTTAAGGAATCCTGAATAATACACTTTTTTTTTCGGCAATTGGGGTTAAGTGATTTGCCCAGGGTCACACAGCTAGTAAGTGTCAAGTGTTTGGTTTGAGGCCAGATTTGAACTCAGGTCCTCCTGACTTCAGGGCCGGTGCTCTATCCACTGCACCACGTAGCTGCCCCTGAATAATACACTTTTAACAGCCCCTCCCTCCCTCCAGTGTCTAGGGGACACTACGTATGCCCATAGTAGGGATCTACTATGTCCCTTGCACATATTATGTAAACATTTGTGGGAAGAACTATTTGATCACTTTAACTCAACGTACGCAGGAATGATAACTTTTACCAGATATACCTGAAAGGGTCATTATCAAGCACCAGAACTTAAGAGAGATTAAGCTAACAATCCAAACAGCAAAAACCAAATGGATGACAGATGTCTACTTCTCAGATCTTGACATACCAGTGGACTCACTCGCTGTGCTGCCCTTCCATCAGAACATATATACTGGTAGTTGTTATAGACAGACAGCAAGCTAGGCCCAGAGCCGAACAGGAAGAGAATGGGCTGGACTGAATTTGGCCAACATACAATGCTTTCAATAATTCTAAGCTCCTCCCTGCTTCAAAAGCCCAACTTCTCAATACTAGTATTCTCCTTGTACAGCTATAAATCATAGCTCACCATGATGTCAGAAGAATAAGGGCAATGGAAAAACACAGAGTGGGTGTAAGTTAGTCATTGATAACTTGAGCATGCCAAGTGGCACGGAAGACATCATCAAGGGGCCACATGACCAGAAAAGGCCACAAGCTGGGAAGAGAGCAAAAGATAACAAATGGACAACTTGGATAACAGATTCCTGAATGCTGCATGGGTACCCAGAAGATATTAAAAGAACCAGAGGAAGGCCTCTGCCTCGCTGGATAAATCTTCTATGGAGAATATCTAGAAAGACAAGGACAAGCAACACACAGGATCAGAAGGTTTGGTGGGTTATGATCTCCGCCAGAGCAAAGACTGCTCTCATCAATGAGATCACAGACCCATTGAAGTGTGACATACTTCAAAGCGCTGAAATATCTGAAAGGGTGAATTCAAGGTCTATCCTCATTCCTTCCTGAATCATAGCCCATGTGGCTGAGAGGAAGCGACAGAAAAGCCACACATAAAACCAGAAACCAGACTCAAGCACCAGACTTCTCCTCTCAGGTCCTCTCATTTTCTAAATCATTCTTGGGGCACCACTGTTGACACAAAGAGAGCTCGGTACTCGATGCAACAGCAGAGGTAGGTCCTTTTAGACAACAGGACAACTGGCAACATTTCAGATGTGGCTGCCTAGAAAGACCTACTTTGAAATGGCCAGCTTCTGCACCTCTCCCCTAGGGTCCCTCACAGTGCTCCATATTTCCTTTTTTAAAGCTACTGCTGCACAGACACCGAAGCAGGGGGCCGTGTTTGATGAGATGTGTGAAGCGTCACGAAGACAGATCAGGGAACTCATAGGGTTAATCACTGGAGTGAGAGAAGCTGAGGTGGCAGCCTCAGAGACCTTAAGAAGGAAGGGGAATGGGGGAGCATATGGTGTACACAGCTAGGAAATGGTAAGAAATTTGACCCATTTTACCTTGAAATGAGTTTTTTTCTTCTAGCCACTTACAGAGCAATTTCGTTTCTAGCCAAAATGCCATCCTTCCTTTTTCATGCTTGCTTTACAAAGGGGCAGGCAAATATCATTGAGTCAATTATGAAAAATGATATATTACTACATATTATATGTGATATAATAAAATATGTGTGTATATATGTATGTGCACGCGCGCACGCATGCACACACACAGAATTTGGAGTCAGAAGACTGGTTCTGCCTCCCTTCTTATATCTGTGGGCAAGTAACTTCCCCTCTGAGCCTCAGTGTCTTCATCTGTAAAACGAAGGGGAGACCTAGATGGTGTTTAAGGTGCCTCCTAGTTCTGACGCCTATGATCCAATGAGATCCTCCTTTTCCCTTAAGTCACTGGTTCAACAGATAAAGATTACTGCCTATAAAAATGAGCCCCTGCGTGAAGGTACGCTTAGTCTAACAGGGCAGTGGTCACTTCATTGCTTTTGGGGGGAATATACTTTGCGGAAGTGTACGTTTGGGTATCTGCTGGGAAATGTTTATTTTGTCAAAAACAAAAAAGAAAAGGAACCTACGTGCTGTAGCAATGCAGAGGACTGCTGGAGAGACCAAGCAGTACATGTGGCTCTAATTAGCCAGGAGAACGAACCTATGTGCTCCCAAGCAGCTTCAAGCACAAAGGATGGATCTTCTCTTCCAATCCCTAGTCCCAGGGCCATGGGCAAATCACTTCTCCAAGTTTCACTTTCTTCCTCTATAAAGACAGGGACAATACTTACACTACCTGCCACACAGAGATGTTACAAAGAAAGTGCTTTGGAAACTTTTAAAGCACTGTAGAAAGATGACTTCTTACCATAAGATTTTTGTGTTGTTGGGTTTGGGTTTTGGGGGGGTGGGAGGCGAAGCACAGTTGACATAACATAGCAACAACAGATGGAGACTCCCACACCATCTAGTCACAGATTGTCACCTCTGAGTTTTTACAGACAACAGAGATGGGGTTTCAGGTTCAGCTTAAGTCAAAAGCATATCTCTGTTTTTGACACCATTTCAGGTCTAAGAAGTGCTATTTCTATGGCTTCCTCTTAAATCTGGCCCCTGACCTTTTGTCCCTCACTGTGCCAAAATTCAGAAAGTACTTGGGCTACTCACCTTAAAAGCACCATTCTACTATTAGCTGGTCACCTCCGCACCTTCTCCTTTAATCCAACAACCATTTATTAATGCACTGGGATATGTTCCTGCTGTCACGGTGTATATATTTGACTTAGGGGGTGGAGAGGAAGAGACAATAAATGCCAGATAAGTAAACACAGAGCATGTGACAAAGAAATACAAAGTAATTTCAAGAGGGAGAGAACGAACAACTTAGGGGTTCAGAGAAGGAAGGGAATCAGGAAAAGTCTCATTCACATAGGAGGTGGCACCTGAGCTCTGCTCTGGAGTAAGTGAAGGGTTCTTAGGGGAAGAAGTGACCACGAAAGCATTTCAGGCACAAAAGGCAGAACATACAAAGGCAGTGGGAATCTTGTGTATAGCGAACAGCTAGCTGTTCAGTCTGACTAGAACTGATGTCGACGGGAACAATAGGAACTGAGATGGAAAAGGTAGGTAGGAGCCAGATTGTGGAGTACTTCAAAAGCAAACTAAGGTGTTTATATTTTATTCTAAAAGTAATAAAGCAATAAACTGAAGAGTTTTTAATCTCCTTAGGCCATTCCAAATGGTACCATCAGTATCTTCTGCCTTGGTGACATAGTCAATGGGCCACACATTCAATTTTCTGTCTGCTCTTTGGCACAAGCTGGAATGCCAAATACAAAGTGCTCATATCCTAGACCTAGCCCCTCCCTGGGTCCCAACTGTTAGGCTGATAGCCAGCTTACATTTCTATAGCTTCACATTTGTTATCCCATTTGTTCGGCCCAACAATCTTGTGAGGTGAGCACTATTATTGTTATCTGTACCTTAGAGATGGGGAAATGAAGGGTGAGTGACCTGCCCAGGATCACATATCTGGTTAAGTCCCCTTGGCAGGATTTGTAACTGGGTCTTCCTGACTCTCCAGACAGTAAAATGTGCCAGACTGTGAGCTCTTCCCTTGCAGGTTGTGATGGCTCTGGTCACCCCAGCACCAAACCCGAATGCTTATTTAAACATATTGGTCAGGTTAAGTGGCCACATCCTCATCCCCACCCCCAACCTGTGACATCTCTGTGCAGCCCACTGTCTGCACACTCTCACTCTCATCTGCCTGCTTTGATTCCCTTTCCCTGGCTCCTATGCCTTTTTAAGCTTCTCTGTATGCAAAACCACCTTTCCTCGCTTGTCATTTCCTCTCCTTCAAATCCCTCCCCAATTGCTGCCTATGGTCTCACACTGGCTCAAAATAAGGGACAGAGCAGGAAGCAAAGGATAAGACAAGAAAACCGTTTCAAAGACCGTTTTCTCTCTCTCATTAGAGAAAGTGAGTCATCTTCGTGGATTTCTAACATCTTGTTTTCTCTGGCAAATTTACTTGGTTAAACAGCTCTGTCAGGAACAGCATGTCCTGTGCGCTATACAGGGTTTACTTGGCTCACTGTCAGCTTACGGAGGCTTAATGTTCAAGGGACATGACATATATTCATTTTTCAAGAGCTGCTGTTTTCCAGAGTCAGAAGGGAGGCTTTGGTTAGAGAAGCTGACTGTAATAGGGAAATTGAAGTATCTACTATCAGTTCAAATGGCAAAAAAGAGACCTTTAAAAAATTATGCTACTTTTATTAACAGCTTGGTAGAGGCAGTTGAAAGCATAAAGATCTGCCATTTTCATAATTCGGACGATCTCAAAGAGGGACCTTTTGGCCAGGGTTTATCACAAGCCTCCTAAACAATGGAAGGAAGCCAACGTGGCTCACTGGGGAGTTTATTCAACTTGTCAAGTCAGAAAACTGAATACTAATGAAGACATGAGACATGAGTCTCCATGCTTCAGAAGGGTAGGGACCATATTTTATTTAAACTTTGTATTTTCCCCAGGATCTAGCACAATGCTGTGCATTTATAAAGTGCTTAATAAATAAAATTATTGGGGCAGCTAGGTGGCCCAGTGGATAGAACACCGGCCCTGGACTCAGGAGGACCTGAGTTCAAATCTGGCCTCAGACACAAAACACTCACTAGCTGTGTGACCCCAGGCAAGTCACTTGACCCCATTGCCTAGCCAAAATAAATAAATTAATTAATTAATTAAAA